AACAATGTCGGTTGTGGGGAAAATTCTGCAAGACGGAGTTTGTTTGTTAAGTAAGAAAAAAGTCTAATGAACAAACAAATGTTTATCTATTTATCAGTATACTGGACATATTGCCAGACACCACATAGTGGTTAACTAGACGCATTACCAGACACCACAGAGTGGTTAACTAGACGTGTTTACAGACACAACATAGTGGTTAACTAGATTTATTACCAGACACCACAGAGTGGTTAACTAGATTTATTACCAGACACAACAGAGTGGTTAACTAGACGTATTGCCAGACACCACAGAGTGTTTAACTAGACGTATTACCAGACACCACAGAATGGTTAACTAGATTTATTACCAGACACCACAGAGTGGTTAACTATATGTGTTTACAGACACAACAGAATGGTTAACTAGACGTATTGCCAGACACCACAGAATGGTTAACTAGGTTTATTACCAGACACCACATAGTGTTTAACTAGATTTATTACCAGATACCACAGAGTGTTTAACTAGACGTATTACCATACACCACATAGTGGTTAACTAGATGTATTACCAGACACCACGGAGTGGTAAACTATATGTATTACCAGACACCACAGAACGGTTAACTAGATGTATTACCAGACACCACAGAGTGGTTAACTAGACGTATTACCATACACCACATAATGGTTAACTAGACGCATTACCAGACACCACAGAGTGGTTAACCATATGTATTACCAGATACCACAGAGTGGTTAACCATGTGTATTACCAGGCACCACAGAGTGGTTAACCATATGTATTACCAGATACCACAGAGTGGTTAACCATGTGTATTACCAGGCACCACAGAGTGGTTAACTAGACGCATTACCAGACACCACAGAGTGGTTAACTAGACGCATTACCAGACACCACAGAGTGGTTAACCATATGTATTACCAGATACCACAGAGTGGTTAACCATGTGTATTACCAGGCACCACAGAGTGGTTAACCATATGTATTACCAGGTACCACAGAGTGGTTAACCATGTGTATTACCAGGCACCACAGAGTTATGGTTTAGATACGAAATGTTATTGACTGTTTGCAGCTAGTCTCAATATCACTGTTTGCAGCTAGTCTCAATATCACTGATTGCAGCTAGTCTCAATATCACTGTTTGCAGCTAGTCTCAATATCACTGTTTGCAGCTAGTCTCAATATCACTGTTTGCAGCTAGTCTCAATATCACTGATTGCAGCTAGTCTCAATATCACTGTTTGCAGCTAGTTTCAATATCACTGTTTGCAGCTAGTCTCAATATCACTGTTTGCAGCTAGTCTCAAATCACTGTTTGCAGCTAGTCTCAAATCACTGTTTGCAGCTAGTCTCAATATCACTCTTTGCAGCTAGTCTCAATAGCCAAGGGAAAAAAACAGGAAAATAAATGATGCTGTGTCAGCTCAAAAGTTTTGTTGTTTTAACCACGATAATGAATGATTTTTCAGTGCTATTCAAAGTTGATTTTCATTAAAATTTGTGCTCTAATATTAAGGAAGGTGCATGTAGTTACACAAAATTTGGAATATCTGATAAGTCAGACACACGTGGACGTGGCGTGAGATCTTGGATTGACCGAAGACGGTCTGCCTTGTGTAGTTAATTATGGTTACCATAAAATAAAGGGTGTGTTCAGTGGCGTAGCGAGGGTGTTTGGCGCCCGGGGACGAGATTCGCGCCCGGGGACAAGATCCATTTTTAGCGCCCCTTTTTCTTTTTTCAACTCTCAAACCAATTATTTTCATCAATAAAATAATATCAAAGCACATTTTGGCGCCCCTAACTAGCTGGCGCCCGGGGACATCTGCCCCCCCTGCCCCCACCACGCTACGCCTCTGGGTGTGTTATCTTGTATCAGTGCATTCAATAAAAACACCAAAAAAAAAGAAGTGATCATTTAATTTTTTTTATTAGTGAAAAAGAGGAAGAAAAGAATCAAATAATTGTTCAGAAAGTTTGAAAATTTAAAAGGCCCAAGAACTCCGGCCCTTTTCAACCGATTTTGATGGTCCAAATTTTTAAATTTGTTAAAACGCTTTTATTTATCTAAATGATCTTTTTATAGGGCTCCCTATCTAACGCGCCACTAAATTGACACGTCATTTAATGGGTACCTACCCGGGCCACTCTTCCAAGTAATATCTTGAAAAAAATGGGTTAAGTTATTCCATTTTGTTTCGTATCCAAACAGGATTACATTGACGAGAATTTTATTTTTACGTTTGGGGTGGCGAGGGGGGTTGTTAGATTAAATTTAAATATATTAGAAAGTTCTATGTTGTTCCACTGGGATATATATATATATATATAAAGTTCTATGTTGTTCCACTGGGATATATATATATATTTTAAATATATTAGAAAGTTCTATGTTGTTCCACTGGGATATATATATATATATATAAAGTTCTATGTTGTTCCACTGGGATATATATATATATATATATATATATATATATATATATATATATATATATATATATATATATATATATATATATATATATATATATATATATATATATTGGAAGCTAAATGCTTATGGACAATTGTATTTTAGTTCTATAGACGGAATTTTTTTTCAGTCGGTGTGGAATGGGGTCACGAATAAGAACGGGATCCCAACGTTGAATGGGATCCAATCGAGGAATGTGATCCAATCTTGAAACAGAATCGCATCATGGAAAAAACAAATCCCACCGAGGGGCTAGATCCAAAGCGGCAATGAAATCACGACCAGGAATGGGATCAAACTGAGGAATGGGATCAAACTTGGGAATCGGATCAAACTGGGGAATGGAATCAAACTGGGGAATGGAATCAAACTGGAGAATGGGATCAAACTGGGGAATGGGATGAAACTGGGGAATGGGATGAAACGTGGGAATCGGATCAAAGTGTGGAATGGAATCAAACTGGGGAATGGGATGAAACTGGGGAATCTGATCAAAGTGGGGAATGGAATCAAACTGGGGAACGGGATCAAACTGGGGAATGGGATCAAACTGGGGAAGGGTATCAAACTGGGAAATGGAATCAAACTGGGAATGGGATCAAATTGTGGAATCGGATCAAACTTAGGAATGGGATCAAACTGTGGAATGGGATCAAACTGGGAAATGTGATTAAACTGGAGAATTGAGTGCCATTGAGGAATGGGATCCGATCGAAAAATGGGTTCCCAACAAAACCTTCATGGTGTGTTTGATTTATATGTTTTTATCTGAGGAATTTTGTTTAAAAAAAATTTCTTTGGCAAGGTTTTTAAATTAAAAAAAAAAATTCGATATTATCTAAAAATGGAATCACGTTTAGAAACATCATACTTGATTCTGGAACCAACCAAAATTGAAAAAAGAAGAGAGGAGGCGTCCACGGGCAAGCTACTCTGTTTTTCCCACAAATGTGGACGTACCCCATACACGTGAGTATTGCTCAATACATTGTTTCGAAATTTTTCGGAAGTATGTTTACCCCAAAATATAATTCAAGAATCTTCTTAAGTTGAATAGGTTAAACGCACCAACGCTCAAGCATATTAAGTCGGTATCTAGACCAGCCACGAAACGTAAATAGGAGAGTTTGAATGCGAGACAAAAATGAAACGCATATGTGTAAATAGCCACATCCATCCATCTGGCTTTACAGACCTGCCTCACCACTTCTTCCACACAAACCTAGCAATTGCTTTTTTTTCCGTAATTGGATTCCAAGCTGCTGTTTATCTTTTTTCCACATCATCGATCCATCTATGCCTCTGGGGTTTTGGTGGTGCACCCTCTACACTCCTCTGAAATTTGGCATTCTTTCTAAGTGTCCCGCTCAGCGTAGCCTACCATATATATATATATATATATATATCAATAACCACACACATGAAACAAACCCAATACCAATATTATCTTATGTTATAATTAAACACATCCAATTTAACGCAGTTTTCCTGATTGTGCCCATCTAAAGAAACCAGTGCAGGAAGGACAACTGCGAAATTGAATACCGCCACATGAGTTGTATATCTTGGGTCTTCAAAAATTTGTCTTTCACGTTGTTAGGGAATAAGAATGCAAGCTTCGGGTTCATTCTAATCTTATGTCACAAAGATATCAAGTATAAAGGCAATTTAATCTAGTTACATATGCTTGTTTGGTTAAATTATATTAAAAATGTTTATTAGTTGATTACATAAAATATCATACATATGTTTAATCATACAGTTAAACTTCTTTATATATTTATCAAATTTCCTGATAATTTTTTGTTTCTCCCCCTCACCCCCCGCCCCTGTGAATTCCATGTCCACATCCATCTTTTCCTTATGATGTCTTCAGCTATAGGCTGTTGGTATGTCCTTTATCAGTAAGTTTTTGTTAGTGATGATGTTTCGCCATTTTATGTTCAGGATCTTTCTAAGGCAAGTGTGTCTGAAGGTCTGTACTTTCTGCATGACTCAACCCAGCGTCCTCCCTCCAAATTTCGGCTCCATAGAGTCATAGAGTGTGACTGTTTTGACAATTGTCGTAATAAATTATCTGACTTTTGTTTTCAGAGTCAGTTTTGTTTGACTGACCTGGCCTCTCCAATTCTAGCCCCCCCCCCCCTCCTGACATCAGCTTCGGATCCATCATTTATATCAGTGGAACTGCCCTAGTATGTGAAGTCCTCGACTTCTTCCAGTGCATTTCCTGCCAAAAGGATGTGCTCTTGGTCAGCTGAGGTTACCTCCATGATCTTTATCTTGCTTTTTGTCAGCGAATAAGCGCACCACTCACGCCCAAAGAAAGCGCACGGCGAGAAAAGACAGCATCGCCTCAAATCTTACTAGGATCCAAAACATCGCGTGTTTCACGTGCGGGAAAGCTTTCCAGGCACAAAGAGGACTGGCAGCCCCCCTCCGTACTCACCCTCTATTATAGCCTCAAACTAAAATTAAACCTTTTGGAATGATTTAACAAACCCGTTTCGAATTAGGTAAATATACAAACTTTATTAACATCAGCAGTTTGTCAGTACATCAGTAAACATGATATATATAAATTATATATAAATACAATAAACATACCGTAAAATTACGGTAATTACCGTGGATGCGTAAAACATTTTAAAACCTGTTGAATCAGCCTCCCAATCTACCGTACGTAGTTAAAGAGGCAACAATCTTAAAATTAAAGTGAACAACAACATTGGCATAGAGGATACATTTTAACATATAAAACAACATTGTCATATAGAGCACACATTTCAACATATAAAAACAACATGATCCAAGATAAAAGCTTTGAAACGACCAGATTGGAAACCATCATAAAATTACAACAAAACCTAAGATCATGTTCATGAACGGTAATTCTAGGTTCTTATCTGGCTCCTTTCCAATTGTCAGGAAAGTTATATTAAATATAGATGCACGCCCTTCTTGATGCGCACCGTACTTGATGCGCACCGTACTTGATGCGCACTGTACTTGATGCGCACCACCTACTTGATGTTGATTTCTTTGACAGCGGGGTCGGCGAACTTCCCTTGGAACAGCACAGTTCCTGTTGTGTCATCCCTTATCCAGAAGATGAACGGGTGGTCGGCCTTGAAAACAAACGGCGTCTCGCGCTGGATCACGGCGCTCGTTCTGACGGCGATCACGGCCGTGGCTGCGGCGGCCACCGTGCCCGTCTCCCTGACCTCAATCACGGCTTTCTGGATGACGTCACTGATCATGATGCTGCTGTTGGAAATTCCCGAAAAGTTCGCCGAGCTGGAGAAGGCCTCGGACATGCCCAGCTTCTTCAAGGCCTCGTTCAGCTTCATCGTCGCCGTGAGGTTGAACTTGGGCAGGCTGACGTCGACCCTCCTCCTGGTGAGACCTGCAAACAATCCATTCACATCGAAGTTGTTGCCGATGAATTTTTTCTCGACCGCCTCCAACCCCGACGCCGATTTGGGCAAGAGGACGTAAAACGAGAACCTCTCGTTGGTGAACGGGATCCTCAGGAGGTCGGAGTTCTCGAGGGCCGATTCCTTGACGTCGAGGTCGTCCACCTGGTTCATCAGCTCGACCGGCGCGGTTTTCCCATTGGCCTTGTAAAAGTTGACCCGTTTGGTGTTGTACTCCAGGAACTGCTTCTTCCAGGTGCTGTTGAAAAAAATCGTGTTCACGAGGACGATGCTGGTGTCAGGGGTCAACGTCCCGGGCGGCAGGAGGTCCTTAATCTTGTTCTCTGTTTTGTTGGCCACCCATTCGTTGATGGGGGCCTCGGGCCCACCCTGTGCCGCGAACTCGATGTTCTCAGCCTTGGCAAAGTAGTTTGTAGCTGCGTCATCCTGCAAGAGAGACGTTATACCGTGTAATTGCTGTGCCCAGTTTTGCAGTTAAGTATAATTTGCTTACATTCTTTGTTGTTATTTTGTGTCTATGCCATGCACTTTCGATCAAAGTCCCTTTATATTATCAGCTTTGTCTTTACGTGAACTGGGCTTGTATTGTCTTATAACATGTGTGGCTGTAAGAAAAGGGGAAAGGGGGGGGGGGTTTGGGGGCTGTCTCCCTTGGTAGTCACTTTTTAGGGGTGTCAATTTGGGGGTACTCCATATTTTTTATTTCGCTTTTTTTTGTGAACTGGGCTTGTATTGTCTTATAACATGTGTGGCTGTAAGAAAAGGGGAAAGGGGGGGGGGGTTTGGGAGCTGTCTCCCTTGGTAGTCACTTTTTAGGGGTGTCAATTTGGGTGTACTCCATATATTTTATATCGCTTTTTTTTGTATGAATTCTGTATTTTTGTGTGGTTTTCTTGAACTAGGGGCGGCAAACTCAAGGCTGACTTAGGGCGTCACAATATCTAAATAGATACTTATCTGTCAACATGCCTCCACTCAAAAAATATTATTAAGAAATAAAAAATAAATAAATATGAAATCGATCCCCCCCCTTTTTTTTAACCGACAATTGAACACGCTATCTCTGTGAACAGATGCCCATAATATTTTTGAGAAGCCCTGACACTGAGCTTATGTTACCTTTATAGAAACAGAGTGACACATAATTTTTACTACTCATTTTGTTCATGAAAAGTGAGAATAAGAACCAAAAAAAGGATGAACATGGATAGAGAATACGAAACAATAAATGATGAACATATAGAGAATATGAACCAACCAGGAACTGCATAGTCTATTTCAGGATACAACTCTAGTAGTTGATGCACATGGGCAGTAGCGCTAAAGGGATGGATGGAAGGAAGTGGTGAGGCAGGCCAGAGCCCCACTATGGGCTGTAGCGCCCAAGGGATGGATGGAAGGAAGTGGTGAGGCAGGCCAAAGCTCTACTATGGACTGTAGTGCTACAGGGATGGGTTTTGCTCTTGACATTTCAGCGTCCAGACTCTTATGGTATGTTTTCCTCTCATCTCCAAATAAGATAACGGCAGAATACAAGCGGAGAAAGAGGGCTTACCTTAAATTGCTGCAATACTTGGAAGTCAGGATGTATCCACATTCCATTGGCCGTCAGCAGTTTGATGTTCAGCGCTGAGTTGAGGCTGGTGATGAGTACTCTGTAAGTTGCATGCGGGTCTTGAACGTTGCTGAGCTGATGAAGAGTGGGCAAATATAGAAAAATATAAGAAACAATATAACACAATCACGGGACTATGAGATGTCATTAATCGATCTGCTCAATAGACTTTACACAAATGTAGGCCGAAATGTTAAAAACATAATAGATCATGTTTACTACAGTTTTTTTGGCAGCGTCGGAAGAGAAGCGCGTGAGAGTGGGGGGAGGGGGCCGTTCCACCCCATGACGCATTTTTTTTTCTTGAAATGAGGAAAGTTGTCATTTTCGGTCAACTGAGAGTTTTGGTTTTTTTTCGTTAAAGAAAGTTATAGTGGTTTGAAAATGCAAAACACATTTCAATAAACTGAATATTGAGAAATTATACTTTTTTTAATAGAAATTATACTTTATTTTTATACATTTTATATCAGATAAAATTATACATTAATAACTATTTGATGCCTTTTGTAATCATCTCACAGATTTTGTTAACATAATTATGGCATTAATATAGGATTTATGAAAATGAACCAACCGTTTCAAAGCCCCATAGCAAGGGATAAAACCTCACTACAAACAGTATTTAAAAAAACAAACAAAACAAACTATTTGACCCTGGTACAACTTGGAAACATTCAGAAAATGCAATTTATGATACATAAATAATTTTAATTTTGAAAAAAAATGTTTGTTTACGAGATGAAAAAAAAATGTTAGTAGAGCTTTAAGTAATGGAAACCTCATTTTTGAAAGGGAAATTAGGTTTAAATAGTCTTTTGTTAATTAAGTACTTTGTGAAAATTTTTTTTACATTAGTGATTAGTAATAAAATTGTAAAAAAAATATATTTTATAACATAACAAGGTCAAACAGAGCCGTCACTGAATTTTTCGAGGCCCTCTTACAACCCTCTCCCTTTTGCATATGCAAAGTAAACATTTAAAAGAGTTTTAATTAAAAAAACTTAAAGCCTCTTAAATATGCCAGGCCCTCTGCTGCAGCTGTGGGGGTTGCAGACCCCACATGGCGTTCTGAGGTCAAGTTACAACTACATTTAAGTGTAGAATGATGCAAAACAAAATTCAGGTATGTGCTCAAATGCATTCTTGCATTTATCAAAAAAAATATAAAAAATTTTCTGGGGACAAGTGGTGAGTTCCCCTGGGTGGACCACCCGATTCGTCCCCCTTTCTCCACCACTGGCACTACACATTAAAAAAAAATCTGAAATCCCCCACCCCCAATCTCGTAGAAATTGAAAGAAAACTGCGCCCATGATAGTATTGATAGTGGCGCGAATTACTCATTTGAACAATAAACTCTTAGATGGCATTGGAGTGTTTGTCGCGTCGTCGTTGTTCCATACAATCGATAAAGTGTTTATTTAAACATAATTAGAAATCAATAATATTAAAATAAAACGTTGCGAATTCGCTGTTTATATTCTTTGTAAAGCTTACTTAAACTTAGGCTTATAGCCAGGGGCGTAGCGAAAGGGGGCAGTGGGTGTAGATGTCCCCAGGCGCCAAACACTCTCGCCACGCCTCTACTTATAACCAAATTCTCCACTCACCTGTAAAGCGGATTTCATCTCACCCGCCGTTGTGCCCCTGGCGCCCATGTAGGTCAAGGACAGGACGGCGTGAGCGCTGAAGGGCGAGTAAATGGCCCCCACCTGCTTAGCGGCCAGTTCATCGTACAACGTCTGGGCGAAACTGGACGTCGCTCTGCCAAGGGGGTTAACATCCGGGGGAGGGGGAGGCGCCCCGTCGTTGAGATTCAAGCACCCCGATAGTAGGGTGGCCAGCAGGACGATGTATCGAAAAGTCATCTCTCAGACAGCACACGGCGACACAGAAAACGTGATGGTGTCGGCTGACTTTTTGTTCTGCGGATAAATTTGAAGATTTTGTAAGAAGCTCAGGAAATCAGGATTGTAATGTTCACCATGACGGCTTGGGCTTATATAGGAGCGAAAGCTGAAAGTCCAACCAACACCAGAGTTAAGTGTCCTGGGGGGTCTATTTTTAAACGCCCGCGTCACAAGTCACGTGGTCACGGGCCTCACCTTTGTGTCAAAGGGGGGACAAACACGAGATTTGTCCTCCCTTATTACGTAAATACGAAAAAGAAAGAAGAAGAAGAAAAAAAGTGGGGGAGAAGGTGCTTTCGAGGTGAAGTTTGGGGAAAATAGGATGTTTGCCAGTGTTAGGGTTAGGGCCATTCTAAGCAGCGCAATTTAAGGTGACGGTGGGGAAAGGACTCCGGGAGGGGGGGGTGGTTGTTCATGAATGCTTTATTATTGTTTGAAGTGGGTCAGAGCTCTGGTGGACGTTTTGTGAGAGTCATATGTGGTGGGGTGTGCGTGGTGGGGTTGCGTGGGGGGGTTGGGGGGGGGGGTTGTGTGGTGGGGTTGCGGGGTGGGGTTGCGTGGTGGGGTTGCGTGGTGGGGTTGCGTGGTGGGATTGCGTGGTGTGGTGGGTAGACTTCTTTGTTTTTTCCATTGAGTAAAAATAAGCTAACCACCTTTTAATTTCACCGACATGGTCATGGATAAACAGAATGTTGAACGCGAATGGAAAGTGAGCCGAAAAACCCAATCTGAAATTCTTATTTTTGTTAAACAAGATTGTGGATTTTCAACAACAACAACAAAAATAATATTTAAAAAAAATAAACATAATAATAGTGTTAATGACACGACAAACGACTTTTAAAATATCTTGTAAACTATTATTGCACCTCTGTGAGGCTTATGATTATGTCTGGGAAATTTAGAACAATTTTGTTTAAAGAAGGTATAATGTAATTCTACAATATCAAGAAGGGTATTTTTTAAAGCCAGAATAACATGCCCGAATCTCTGAAGTAATCTCTGTTTGACGGAACAAATGGTGAATGTAGAACAGTGGAGCAGTGGACATGAAATTCGGGGGAAAATTATTTATCATAAAATATATATATATTTTGTTGGGGAATATCCGAATCATTTTGCTAAAAGTTTAATTTCAAATTGTCTAAATATAAATATATATGAACATATACATATATATGTGTGTGTATATATATATATATATATATATATATATATATATATATAGAGAGAGAGAGAGAGAGAGAGAGAGAGAGAGAGAGAGAGAGAGGGGGGAGAGAGAGAGAGAGAGAGAGAGAGAGAGATAAAGATAAATATATATAAATATATATATATATATGTGTGTGTATATATATATATATATATATATATATATATATATATATAGAGAGAGAGAGAGAGAGAGAGAGAGAGAGAGAGAGAGAGAGAGGGGGGCGAGAGAGAGAGAGAGAGAGAGAGAGACTTAAGATTGTAATGAAAAAAATTATTTGGCTTGAAAGTACTCTGGGCATAGTACATTGGTAGTCTGCATAACAAATTGGTGGTCTGGGCATAGCACTTTGGTAGTTTGCATAACACATTGGTGGTCTGGGCATAGCACATTGGTAGTCTGCATAGCACATTGGTGGTCTGGGCATAGCACATTGGTAGTCATGATATGGCACACTGGCTAACTATTTATGGCATATCGGCATCAGGTGACAAGAAAAAGTCCCCGACACCGAGGTCCTCACAAGAGTGAACCTACCTAGTATCTTCACCATTCTGATGCAGTCTCAGCTCCGTTGGATGGGACATTTAGCCCGTATGGAAGACCACCGGCTCCCGAAACAGATATTCTTCGGAGAACTCACGATAGGCAAGCGTTCCCAAGGAGGTCAAAAAAAAAGCGTTACAAAGACTCAATGAAAGTGGCCCTAAAGGCCTTCAGCATAAACCCTACTCAATGGGTGCAGACAGCCCAGGACAGAGCCAGGTGGAGAGCTTCTGTCAAGAAGGGGGCTAATAGGGGCTAATCCCATGAAGCTAATAGGATATCCACAGCTGAGACACGTAGGCTTGCCCGAAAGAGCAACATTAGGTCACCGTCTATTATTCCGAGCACGGATCGGTCTAACAAGCCATCTACGAGCTCACCGTAACCCAAACTCCCCCTAACCCAACCTCCCCCTAACCTTTGGATGACCCGATGGTCCTAGTCGACTTCGATGGACGAACACCATTTATGGCATATTGGTGATCTAAGCATGGAATCTAGGTAATCTTTAGTAGGGCACATTGGTAATCTCAGCATGGCAAATTGATGCTTGACCGATCTTGGCATTGCACTTTGCCATCAACGATATTTTAGGATTGACGTTATGACTATATCAAGCCATGAAGGTTAAAGGTTAAATATTATGTGTACATCAGCTCCATCAAATCCGTGGCCCAGCTAGAGCAAGCACGCCCCCCCCCTTTCCGTGGGTCAAGCTTTTTGTTGCCCCCCTTCGATCTTTCTACGCCACTGCAGTCAATGGATAAAGAGAGAAAACTTTATTAGCAGAGTTAGTCTTTGAAATCTATTTTTGTCAACTATCAACCCTGTTTTTATAAGCTTTAAAAAAAAAGTGTGATTCATTGGTTAATCCTATTAATACCTCTGTTAAACAGCATAGACAATTTCAAAACGGTAATTTTTGCTTTCGTTGGCATGTTTCAGGGTAGCGCCTCGACTCGATACATTGAGAAAGGCTGGTTAAGTGTCTCACTGCCCAGTCCTTCCTTCACTGCCCAGTCCTTCCTTCACTGCCCAGTCCTTCCTTCACTGCCCAGTCCTTTCTTCACTGCTCACTGATCTTTGATGCAATAATTTATTTTGAGAAAATGTCTTTTATCTGCCACATCTGTGTCCGTCTGCCACCAAAAGCCACAAAGCAGGGGCTTCTTCCTCGAGAGACCTTCTTACAAAATTTAGGGTTTCCCAATCTGTGCTGCTATCATCGGGGGTGGGGGTATTTTGGGGGCATGAAGAAAAGTAATTAAGTCACGATTTTAAAAAATATATATATATAAATATATATACTAGATTTTACTAGATATATATATGTTTCATTTTCTTAATTTAAGCATTGCACCATAAGTCCCTTTTCTACAATCTGCAGTTGTCTTCATAATTCATACAAATAACAGTTTAGAATAGAATATACTTTTTTCATAGTTTAAAATGCATTGCTACCCTTGTACGGGTCATGTAAGTAACTCAAACAGTTTTTTAGAGGATACGTGTATATCTTTTACGTGTTACTTATACATTTTGAGATGCTGCGATGTTTGAATTCTTGTGGTTGGGTCTGGGTCTGGGTCTGGATCTGGGTCTGGGTCTGGTCTCAATAAGAATAAAAAAAAAAAAGAAAGTACTTCAGAAAATCTTGTTTCTCTTAGTATCCTGCAATTGATAGATGGTGTCAGATCCCCAGCAAAGCCCACATTCAACCGTCTCTCTCTCTCTCTCTCTCTCTCTCTCTCTCTCTCTCTCTCTCTCTGTATATATATATATATATATATATATATATATATATATACAAGATAGAGAGAGCGTTGTGGAGGGAGAGAGTGTATATCTGTGGGGGCGGTGGGTCTAAAAAAAAAAAAATTCTCTCTCTCTCTCTCTCTCTCTCTCTCTCTCTCTCTCTCTCTCTCTCTATATATATATATATATATATATATATATATATATATACAGACCATCGGCCTCACAACCAGATTGAGGGAACGTGGCAAAGATAGCTGACCTAGTTACGACAATGTCACCAACCTCACACAGGTGACACAAACCCATTCTTTTCGTCGCAATTAATTTATTGTTAATATTAATGATGTCAGAACGTCAACTAACTTCATTAAGACAGGTTCGCGTATACCGTTGTTCTCACAATCCTGTACAGCGGGCAGACTATTTTTATTTCAAGTTCTCCCATTTCATACTATTTCAACCGTGCTCTCACGATCCTGTAGAGCAGACAGACTATTTATACAGTTTCTATGAAGGGTTTAAAGACATACAATAGAATGCAAAATACTTAACAGCAGATAGAATGTCATGAGTCATGAGCTTTTAGAAAAGATTATCCTGTTAAAAAGAAAAACGATAACGAAGTATTATTATTATTTCAAATTAAGAATTAAAATGATTGAATTTTTCTGTGCGTATTCAGTTTAAATTCCAAATCAAATATGCAGATATAAATATGCACTACTCACCTACTATAGCTAATGGATGTGTGTGCTAAACCACTATTTAGCACTGGCAGTGAAGAAGTGTGCATAAAATACACATTTTTACCAGAACAGGTGTGACCTGCGGAAAGGTGTGCCAACGTAATTTACAGTTCGATTAAGTACCTTGCCACCAGTGGTCACCAAAACTATTGACTTAAACCCTTACGTCGTCTTACAAAAATAATCTTTATTACTTTATTGTATCTTTTATACTATGTTATTTCTTATTTGTGGCCTACCGAACTTTACAAAGAAAAAAAAGGGGGGGGGGGATCATTAACAAAACAACAACATGTACTTCATATCTTTGAGTGGAGATATAAGGGAAATACAATCGACCCTGCGGTCACTACTTCTTCTAGTTCCGATAGGAGCGCATTTCTGAGGAAATTTGGGGGCGTCCAAATGGGGTTTGCCTCTTCGTGGCGTAGCAGACTAGTAGGGAGGTACTGTTCTTCAGAAGCATGACTTGTTGCCGTTGATGGATTATGAGGCTTGGGTGGCGGTTAAATCCCATGCCGATGATTTTAGCCTCGCGCCTGTGAGAAAGCCGCTCCTAGGTAACCGTTTCATTCCAGCTTTCCGTCGCGACCGAAAGACTCCCTGTGAGGTGGGGGATGGTAACACAACATCTTCCCTCCAGAGTGGAAGCAAACCCGCCAAGACCCTATCGGAAAGTCGACTGCGGACGCTTTAAACGCAGCGTTTTTGGTCGACCGGGCGTCCCCCATGCGAGGGGGGAGGTTCCCGGCGTGCTTCCGCACGGTCTGGTCGCGGGGAGACCCAGCGTCGGCCCGTGTGGGGATGTGCCGGGGGGGGGGGCATTAAGAGCTCGCGCTCGACGGACCACCAACACCATTTCCCCGTGTGACGTATTTAGTCACTGCTTCTTAAACATTTGCAGTTACATGAACCATCTGCCATTGAATGAGTAGATTTAAAAAAAAAACAACTTAATGCCAAGTTGTCAATATGGCGATACCGGCTTTCCAATAGAGTTTAAAATTGGATCAGTTATTATTTCTTATCTTTTTAAAATTTACCACCAAAATTATTTTTTTTAAAATTAGAAAATGTTTTAGATATATTTTGCTTCTGGTGGGTCTTGCTTCCTCTTCACCCCCCCCCCACACCAACTCACCATGTTTTATATATATTTTGCTTCTGGTGGGTCTTGCTTCCTCTTCACCCCCCCCACACCAACTCACCATGTTTTATATATATTTTGCTTCTGGTGGGTCTTGCTTCCTCTTCACCCCTCCCCACCAACCCCCCATGTTTTATATTTATTTTGCTTCTGGTGGTTCTTCCTTCCTCTTCACCCCCCCACACCAACTCACCTTTTTGTTTTTTTTTTTTTTTTTTTTTTTTTTTTTTTTTTTTTTTTTTTTTTTTTTTTTTTTTTTTTTTTTTTTTTTTTTTTTTTTTTTTTTTTTTTTTTTTTTTTTTTTTTTGTATAAGTATAACGTCATCGCTATTCAATAAATCCGGCAAATGCCTGTTCCTATCAGTGGGTTATTTCTTGACACAAAGGTTGACGGAGGCAATGCACTCTCACTACGACATAGGGCAATAGATTTCATTGCATATTATTATTTATATTATTGTATTAATTTTATGATTAATAAATTGGTCTTATATAACGCGGTACTCCTGCCTAGGGCTAGGCTCACCACGAGTCACATAAAAATTAGCAAAAAAGAGGAAAGAAACGTCTTCCTAGGGGAGTTTAAAATTGAATCAACTGTAATAAGAAGCTAACTTTTTTTTTTTATTGTAACAATTGGACAAACCGGGTATTTTCTCAAATTACCCAGACCCGGTTAAAAAAACAAACAACCAACAACAGCACTCGTTAAGCCCTAGTTGTTTTAATTTTTTTTAAATTTACTGTTTAAATATTATTTTTTTGTTTAAAAAAAATAAAAACTGTAAATGCACACATATTTGGTAGAGTGATCCTTCAGTTTATTTAACGCCCGATACGTTTTTCACCAACGAAGTATTTTTTTAAAATGTTGAGTTTCTCATTTCCGGAATCCATAGCTAGAGTTTGTGGTGCCACCGGGGGGGGGGGGGGCGTTTACCACCTCCCCATGTTTTATATATATTTTGCTTCTGGTGGGTCTTGCTTCCTCTTCACCCCCCCACACCAACCCACCATGTTTTATATATATTTTGCTTCTGGTGGGTCTTGCTTCCTCTTCACCCCCCCCACACCAACTCACCATGTTTTATATATATTTTGCTTCTGTTGGGTCTTGCTTCCTCTTCACCCCCCCCACACCAACTCACCATGTTTTATATTAATAGTACTGAGTGAGGGGGGGGGAAGGGGACTGTTACGCAGCGAGCTTCATGCGTGACGTCTAAACTCGGGTAAATCGTTTTTTTTTTAAAATTTATTTATTATTTTGCTTTAGGGGTAGACGACTATTATTTAGTGTTGTTATTGCTCGTGTTCCTCTGTCACACAGCGAGCTTCAAGCGTGACGTCTGAACTCCGGTCAATAGGTTGATGTTTCGTTGTACTGCCACTTTTGTTTCGTAAATCTTTGTTATAAAGTTAACGACAGTATCTTCTCTGTTGACGGTTTTTTTTTGGTAGTTTTTTTTTTTTTTTTTTTTTTTTTTTTTTTTTTTTTTTTTTTTTTTTTTTTTTTTTTTTTTTTTTTTTTNAAGTATAACGTCATCGCTATTCAATAAATCCGGCAAATGCCTGTTCCTATCAGTGGGTTATTTCTTGACACAAAGGTTGACGGAGGCAATGCACTCTCACTACGACATAGGGCAATAGATTTCATTGCATATTATTATTTATATTATTGTATTAATTTTATGATTAATAAATTGGTCTTATATAACGCGGTACTCCTGCCTAGGGCTAGGCTCACCACGAGTCACATAAAAATTAGCAAAAAAGAGGAAAGAAACGTCTTCCTAGGGGAGTTTAAAATTGAATCAACTGTAATAAGAAGCTAACTTTTTTTTTTTATTGTAACAATTGGACAAACCGGGTATTTTCTCAAATTACCCAGACCCGGTTAAAAAAACAAACAACCAACAACAGCACTCGTTAAGCCCTAGTTGTTTTAATTTTTTTTAAATTTACTGTTTAAATATTATTTTTTTGTTTAAAAAAAATAAAAACTGTAAATGCACACATATTTGGTAGAGTGATCCTTCAGTTTATTTAACGCCCGATACGTTTTTCACCAACGAAGTATTTTTTTAAAATGTTGAGTTTCTCATTTCCGGAATCCATAGCTAGAGTTTGTGGTGCCACCGGGGGGGGGGGGGCGTTTCTTGGCACCGCCACCTCTGATCCACGGCCCGCGCGATGCATAAGGAATACAATAAACATAAGCCTATTAAAGTAAATGAAGTGGCCAGATAATACCACCCCTAAAAAGTGTGCCACATGGGGGGGGGGCGCCCTTACCCGCCCCCTATTTTCTTACGCCTGGGCCGGGATCTGTGTTCCTGGTATACCACTAAATTATTATTGTAAGTCGTAACGTGATGGCGTCAGGGATCCACGACTCCGGCGCGCTATAAGTCTTACGTGGATGGGGGAGTTGGGTCTGGACCCCAGCCTCCCGTCAAACATACTGGTCACGTCTGCTACTGACCTTGTCTGCCACCGGTGTGGTCTTTTGTAGTTTGTAGTGTGCACTGGTGACATGACCTTGGTTCTGTACATTGCGTGTTAAGCTTTTGGGGAGTGGAAAAAGGGGTGGGGTGGAATGTACTTGTCAAACGTGTAAACATTTCGGTTGACAGACAGCTGGCAGAAAAAAACAATTTATATGTAACTGTTAGTTACTATCTTTACGTCTTTATCACATTTTTTACATGCCCCCCCCCAACATACTTTTTTCTCTTTAAATCCAATCCGTCTCTTTCTCTCTCTCAATCTCATTTTCTTATACATTTTGGAGAAGGAAAGAGGGAGAGTGAGTGAGAGAGAGTGAGTGAGACAGAGTGAGGGAGGGTGAGTGAGAGAGAGTGAGTGAGACAGAGTGAGGGAGGGTGAGTGAGAGAGATTGAGCGACAGAGAGTGAGCTAGAGAGCGAGTGAGAGAGAATGAGAATGAGTGAGAGAGTGAGAGTGAGAGAGTGAGCGATAGAGAGTGAACGAGTGAGACAGGGTGAGAGAAGGTGCGAGAGAATGAGAAGGAGTGAGAGAGAGAGTAAGAGAGAGAGATTGAGAGAAGTAGTGAGTGAGAGTGAGTGAAGTGAGGGAGAGAGAGAGAAAGTTAGAGAGGGGGAGAGTGAAAGAGCGAGATAGTGATGGAGAGAAAGAAAAAGGGTCTTTCAAAATTAAATAGAAAATCTTTACTCATCTCCGCTCATGTTTAAGTAACCAGCAGTGAATTTAAATGTATTTGCCCTGTTAACCGTGCCGGGACATTTGTTTACTTTGCTAAATTTTACATTTCAACTTCATGCTGGGCTGACACCAACTCATTTAACATCCCCCCCCCCGGTCAAACAGTAAGTCACATCTAAACATCCGTTCCCAATCCAGGTCCACAGTTTTTATCCTGGGTAAGCACGATAATTCTGCCAGCTCATCACCAACAACAACCTGACATCACCCGGCCCAGGACTTAATTACATTACTTGTGGAGAATAAGGTGTGTACTTTTCTAGCACGTGATTGCCATAAAAGCACACACGAAGCGTGTGGCTGGCTATCTATTGAGTCGGCATGTTTTTTTTGCACGCGTGTGTGGGTTATGATCGTGTACGGCCAGAATTTATGTGTGCGTGCGTGTGTGTGTGTGTGTGTGGGTCATGATTGTCTATGGCCAGGCTTCATGTGTGTGTGTGTGGGTCATGATAGTGTTGGCCAGAATTCATGTGTGTGTGTGTGTGGGTCATGATAGTGTTGGCCAGAATTCATGTGTGTATGAGTGGGTCATAATTTTGTTCGGCCAGAATTTATGTGATTTTTGTGTGGATCATGATTGTGTATAGCCAGAATGCATGTTTATGTATTTGTTTCTTCATTTTGTATACAAAGCCTTCATGTGATAGCCATTCAATTATTTGATGAATATATGTGGAGTCAGGGCGGGGGTGGGG